ACGGATGACGTCAACAAAGCGCAAACGTGTCACTGCTTCTGACTACATACCATAGTTAGATCGTACCAGCCAATCAGAGACCGTGTGGCCCAGACAGAAGCAGAACAACCCAAGTAATACTGGAACGCGATTGGTGGAAGCCCGGATGACCAATGAGTATGTTTTGTACATATTATTTAATCTCCCTTATTTCTTCCAATAAAGGAACTACAATTCCTGTGGCCTTTTCCTTGCGTCTCAGTTACGTGGAATATTGTGTGCTAGTGCCATTGCGGTTCCGTGCTTCCGTGATCCAGTCCGTGATTGTTAATCCTTGATTCGTATTCCGTGATCCCTCTTGCGTGGTTTGTAGTTCGGGTCCACTGCGTATTACTACTACTAGTATGATCATTACACCACCTTTCTATCTCTTTCTGGCTAATCCATGATTGGTGGATCACAGTCATTTAATCGTCAGGAGACAAAAAATAACAATATGATTGCCGTTACACAGGGAAGAATGAATCTAATTCCTTATGTCATGTCATCTCCCCAATGCGCTTTTATCAAGAATTACTAACCCATATGCATTTGTGATTCCCTATTTTCCGGTGTTTCTCGCGACACCTTCTATCCTCCTCTCATTGCCTTGAGCAGTGAACCATCTCGCACACCACAAAGCTTTTCAATTCATGCTTCATTTGCTATATGCCGTCGTTGAAACAGAGCGTTGCTGATGAGTTGTTTTATTTGTCGTCGCTAATCTCAGCCCAAAGACTCGAAGTACCTCTCGATTAATAAGGTGAAAATCATCCAAAGTGGGTGAGCCGTGTACGTATTCGACCACTTCCTTCGGAGTGTATTTGACTAAATGGAATCCTGGATTGCGAATGTCATTCACGATTGAGTCGGTCTGTTTTCAGGGATTTTCCAATGAATTACTATTGGAGGACTATAATCGGTCGATACAAAGCCAAGCTAATGTGGCCACCTTTATTTCCGGACACACTACCAGACATTTTCCGTGTAGATCATTGTTCAGCGCATCCGAAAAAGCCTTCGACAAGTTAGAGGTGATTATCAAGAACCGTGCTATCGCGGAGACTCGTCGCGAGCGTTAAAACCCACGGGCAGTGCGTGGTCAGGATATGGTTAAATTTTCATTCATAAAACAAAATATCTCATTTGGAGCAAGTTTGCAGAATTTCTGCACACACTCAGAATAAGTGATGGAACGGCCCACTATCAGATGCGCATTCTTGTATTCACCATACCGAACAGCAACAGTTTGCCCGAACAGGTCTTGTTCATTTTTGGTCGCTGAAAGAAACCGCTGGTCGCATCTTTTTGCGTACTACTCACAAGCGAGTAGTATCTCACAACATAATTAGTCGAAGAAACACCACCTTAAGGAGCAAGAGGCACCATCTTTTAGAATTTTGAAGCACTTCCCCGTGCACTCTTGTCTCTTGTAATATACATACTCCTACTACAATCACTCTCGCAAACGAAGACTTCAAATAAAATTTAGGAAAGAACTTGATGTTTGCTGTGGTTTTGTTTTCACATCACAGCGGAATGTGAAGTGAAGTTGCTAAGATCGGAAGGAAGTTGTAGGGATGTCGAGTTATGGGCTGAGTTCTGTAGCTTCAAATAAGAATGCACGAAGCAGGCTCGGATTCATCATAATCTGCAAAATGTTTTTAAGTAACCCATTGTTGCTGAGCGTGTTTGCTCGAAATAACTACAGTGGACCACCTACCTACCACTCATTGTATTTCACTCCTGTTCCTTGCACATGCGCTGGCGCAGATACAGACGCGTTGACTCAATTCTCAGTCGGAGCTAGCTTTGCTCTGCGACCTGTGTCCGCATTGTTTCTCATCTTTAGTCGTCAACCGTCTTCAGAACAACGTTTCTGATGGAATAAAAGCGCAGTCAGGCTGTTGGGACGTAAATTATTGTTAATTAGTGAACAAATTTGTATCATAACCGAGGGATAAAAGCCGTAAATGAAAGTTACAAATCCATGAACGAAAAGTAAATCAACACCGAAAAGACCAGTTAGTCTCTGATTTTAATACGTTTTTGGGCGTTTGGACTTTTCAACCGATTCGAAAGCAATAACTGTTAATTTCGGTTAGTTTATTTTAGATTTTCGTTCGATTTACACCCTTCGAACCAATCTTCTGACATCGACGACAGTAATCAGCTCAGGTAAATCCGTGATTGTAGGCGGTCTCTGTTGTAATAAATTCCAGTGCGCATGTAAACCAATGTTCTCCGTCACGTGACTGTTATGTATGGATTTCTATTCGGTGTTGTTGAGGCTAGTACTGTGTAGTTCAGTTGGGAGAACTGGAGCCAATCAAAATGAAGTATCGTTACAGGTCCAAGGAACAGGAATATGGCGTAGAGTCAACGCAGTTGGTCAGTGGCAATCCACGTGACTATCTTCCACGCGATTTGTCCGCCTCCTGTTGATTCGGGCCGCACAAACCGGAAACGAGATTGGACGCATCGTTTTTCACTGCCGCGTGGTACGAACCAATCAACGTGTCCATTCGTTCGCTCAGGCCCATCGACCGAAAAATAAGGCCGCTGTAGATTGTGTGCGGCTGTCCGCCTATCGCTCTCCATGCACGTGTGTAAATACGTACGGGTGTGCACAGACAGACACGGACACACGTGTACACACACCCCAGACTACGGACAAGGTTAGTGAGAGGGACAGCCGAGTGCGGCAGTGAGAGAACGAAAACGCGGCGCATCGATCGGCTTGACGACACAGCTGTTTCACGTTCACCTCGTCTGTAGTCTTAGCCGCCAGAACACAGTCTACCTGTATTTACCAAACACTGCGCGGGTAATTAGTGCTAAATCACGAGAACCGGTCTGAGAGACTATGACTCGATCAGGTCCATATGGAGCGAAATCGAAACGCAAGCGACCGAAGCGGTGTACTCTCGGTATCTATCACACGGGATCTGTTATTTTGTTCATCGGCATTATCGTGGCTATTGTCGGAGTGGCCACGAGTCGCCTATTCCATGTGTATGTGTACGACCATCGGAAGCCAGCTCGTTTCCTGCATGTGCACATTCCCGTGGGGCTCTTCTCTCAGGACGCGGAGGTCACGTGGCTCTCATTAGCTCAAGATAAGCTACCTTATGGTTTGGAATTAAACGGTAAGTTTCGCATCGACGCTCAGTCCGGTTCGCGTTTCTTTAAAGTAGTAGATCGTCAAATGGTTTCTTTTTTGCATTTTCATAGATCTACAACAGTTGGGCGGGTCGTCTGAAGGGTATAATCGTTTATGGGGAAAATAGGTATCGGATGGACCTGTTTTGTCTAAATTAGATCACTTGTGTTTGGTCCTTACGGTCAAATACTGGTTATGGTCTTTCCACCATGCATATCATCGTGATACCAATGTTGTGATGGAGTGGACAGATTAATTCGATCAAAGGGGCGGCCATGATGAGGGTGCATAGTTTCTCACCCATCGTACAGACACAGTGGACTTCAACGTGCTGCCCCGGGGACCAAACAACCCACACAAAATTTTCATGTTCAGTGTGCGAAAACCCGATTAGGATATCCAATCAAACGAGGAGAGCGTGAGAGCAATCGGTCGGTCTATTTTAAATGAGCCCTCTACTCCCAACGGACATATTACAATCTTTGAATTTGAGTGAAATTTATGTTAAATGGGTTCCGGTGTTCTTGGCTCAGTTTAAACAAACTTCTCTGCTTTAGGCAGTAATATGTGGTGATGTAATTTGCGTTGATCATGGTAAAATAGGTGTCATTTTTCACATTTGTTGAAATTCTCTCTATACACGTGTGCAATTCCCGTAGGAAATGCGATGGCTACTCTGTTTGCAATAGCATAGCTGCTGCTTGTAGGCGGATTGTTTCTTTCAATCGTCTGTGGGGCAGTGTGCTTTTATCCATAATATTGCCTGGTGCTCCCCTTACAACAGATCCTAGACCAGACGGTACATATTCGATATCGTGAGTCGCTGTCATGTCCAGGTTCGAAACACACCAACGCTCCTATTCCAGTCACAATGTAACTTAGTTGAATAAATTTTGCTACATCTGTAATCAAGACGTCTATTTTTTGAGATGCTTCTTTTGATCAATGTGTTTAATCAGTATGGCCTACACGCTTCATGTCTGGATCAGTTTCATGTTTGAATGGTGAAAAGTTTAGCAGCCTCAGTGGGAAGTACATCCGATGGATTCTAAGGAAAACCGTTCATGGCACTCAGCTAGCATGCTACCCGGTGGGGTCCCGAGGTCTGTGTGCAAGCTGCACGAAAGTGAAATCATCAGATCTGAGCTGTACTTAGGCTAAGACCTGGCATGAGGGTATGAAAACCCTAACCAGGAGACTAGGTCACAGAGGCCCCGTTAGGCTCCCTGGCTGGGGACCTCGGGATGATGGTCACCGATGGTTAGGTACATTGAGTGATATGGCTGGGTGTCGCAAACAGTGGCGCTCGTGCATCCACTCGTTATTTTCCTAACACACTATGTGTATTCCCCATCTCACTCTATATGTATTCCCCATTTTCCGCTTGAACTTGCTTTGACATTCCAATCTTCATTTCGTTATTTCATCCAAATGAGCAACCAAAAGACAGCAACCAAAACCCGCGCACGAAAGTGCATGGTTAATGGTTGTAAAACTGAAACTGTAACTGTACTTAGGCGACTTCCATGCAATACGGCTACAATCAAACCTTGGTTTACATAACATGATACGTTTTTAAATTTTTAATTGTTCATTCCCGTAAAATGGACCAGTTTTTAGCTCATTATTATTAGCTTTTAATAGGTTTTACGATTCGGTTTAGGGTGACCGGGTGCAAACATTGTAATCCTGAAAGATTTTGGATAGGTTTGCTGCAAAATACCTAATGACTTCCACTCGCCTTTATGTCACACTTGATTAATTGATCGTGTCATTCTACAACTTATTTCAATTCTCTGTTTGGGTTCCCATACCTCACAGTTGGCTTTGGCATACAGTTTAATGATGCGTAGTTAGAATCAAAAGATATATGCTCCACTGAAAGTTCTAAATCAGAGAAAAATAGTTAATCGAATGCATCTTTAACCAGCGCAACTTTAATCAACCACTTTCAATAGATCCGTCAAACAAAGGTATTACAAAGGTTTTCAGTTCGAATAGTGTTTGGTTTACATTACGGCCACCATAAAACTTGATTTACGTTGGCAAATCCCTAAACGCACCCGCGAAATCTGTAAGATGTCTTTTCTTAGATTTTTTATCGGCCTTTCACTCTGTTTGACGTCTACTGCTCCCTCGTAAAGTGGAATCCGTTGGCTGTCCCAAGCGCCTACTGGCGTTGCTCGTTGACTACTTCAGAAATGGAACTCAGCATAAACTCGGCTGGGTACGAAAATATCTAAACCGTTCGTGAATAATTCCGGGGGTGCTCCAGGGAGCGGTTCTTTCTCTATTATTGTTTTCTACTTACGTCAGTGACCTGCCGGCGAATTCTCCAGCCCAATTATTTAGGTATGCGGACGACATAGCCCTTTGCCAAACCATTTCTGCGCCTAAAGACCCAAATTTCTCCTACTACCTATCGCACAACCACACATTTTCCCTTCAGTCTGAACTGCCTCACGCATGAAAACCAGACTGGTCGGGGTTGTATCGACCGCAGCTTTAGTATTCACGAAACTCTGAAGCATTAAAATTCCTTTCGTAGACACCATCTCTATTTTCCTGCATCGTAAAGCGGCCTTCGACTCACTCGACCGATCTGAACTCTGCCGCTACCTTTCCCGAAACGATGTACCCGAGAAGTTTATTTCAATATTACGATCGCTTTATACTAATGGCCGAAGCCGAGTTCGAGCTTACGGCACGTTTTCGCCCGAGTTCATCACAGAAAGTGGTGTCCGTCGGGGTTGACCTCTCTCTCCTTTTCTATTTAACTTTGTTATAGATTTGATTATGGAAACAGCCCTATCCTCGTGCGAGGATGGTGGCATCGATTTACTCCCATGTGGCAGACTGTCTGATCTAGAGTATGCAGACGACATTGTGCTACTAAATAAAGATCGAGGTAAATTACAAGCCTTTCTGGATAATTTGAGTGCTGGTGTAGCTATGTTCGGTGTGCGTTTTGCACCTTCAAAGTGTAAAATACTACTATAAAACTGGTCGGTCCAGCATCGAGCCTCACTCTAACTGGAGAAGCAATGGAGCAAGTGGATAAGTTTTGTTACCCGGTCAGCTACATCTCACCCGGTGGACGCATCACGGATGAAGTATCAGCTCGCATACAGAAGGCTCGGTTGGCATTTGCCAAATTGAGATATCTGTAGCGCTTTCGTGACATCCGGCTGTCTGTGAAGGGTCGAGTGTACGCTGCAGCAGTTCGGCCAGTTCGGCTACATGGAGCAGAAACTTGGTCATTAAGAAAACAGGATAAAGATAGACTGTCGGTGTTTGAACTACACTGTCTACGCAGTATCGCACGCATTTGGTGGAGCAACCGGTAGAGCAATGCTGAGGTCAGGCGCAAAGTTTTAGGCAACCGTGGTCGTCCACTGGAGTAAGTGGTCGACCTCCACAGATTACGTTGGTTGGGGCATGTGTTACGCATGTCTCCAAGACGGTTGCCACGACGAGGGCGGAAGTGGGTGGAATAAATAAGGCCCAGGGTGGCCAAGCAAAGACAAGGCATGAGGGTATGAAAACCCTAACCGGGAGTCGGTCACATAGGTCCCGTTGGGCTCGCTTGATGGGGACCTCGGGATGATGGTCACCGATGGTTAGAAATGGTTAGAATGATATGGCTGGTGTCGTAAACAGTGGTGTTCCTGCTTCTACTCAATTACTCTGCAGTCATAGGTCACGGAAGTTCTCACTTTTCTCTCTACCTCCAACTTTCCTGTTCTTCTACTAATATTCATCCAAATGGGCAGCCAAAAGACAGCAACCCAAACCGGCGCCCGAAAGTGAATGGTTAACGGTTGTTCAAACTTAAACTGAAAACTGTCTTTTGATTAAGCCAAGTGGTTCGAATGCGCTTTTAAAGTTTTATACCCGTTGATGATCTATCTAAAAAAATTTGAACTTTACTTGTCCGCGTGTGAAAAATTTGCACAGAAAATCCCCTCTGACACCGTTCGTCTTTTACACAACGGTCTATTCAAAGCCGCTCTCATTCATGCAGGCGTTCCACATATCATCTTTCACCGTGCGACATTAAATTCTACAGAAATTCTACAGTTCCCCATCTCTCTAGAGTCATTGTAAATCGACAGCGCGTTTTTATTCGAATTTCTCAGCAACCTTGGAGGTTAAATTTTTTACTTATATTATTATTATTATTTTCTTCTTTCGATGAAATATGTAAATTGTGACTCAAATGCGGACATCTGTCCATTCAAAAGTCTACACAAATAGAAATATTTCAGTCAAGTACGAAAGTTTAGCATTAAGTTATACCGTTGAATTATCGATCCGGCCCGTTAATCACAGTGTGGTGGGTAGCAACAGGTAATTAACTGCTTTGTGTTGTTGTGCTCCTTATTTCCCATTGATTATCATCCATCTCCCAGTTGATTGAAACATTTGACTAAAAATTCACCCGGAATCACAATCCGACTTTGGTTCAGGCATTTGTGTCCTTTAGATCGAATGATTTTTCCATCACTTAAAGCCGCTGTGCTCCGCTAGTTTGCCTACGCATCGCCCGCCCTAACATGTGATCCGTACTCAGTAAGGAATGTAATCTTCCAGTAGGTGAACGTGAAAGTAAAGTTCCATGCATCAGGCTTGGGAAATGGTCTGTTGAGGGCTATGTAATCCACGCTGTGTTTTGGTCTACCAGCCGGTAAATACTACGCTTGTGACCAGATAGAAACAGCTGTCCAATAGTGCTTCCTAGCTTTTCAGTTCACGCTTCATTTCTTCCATATACACGACGAATTTACCCTTTGAAATTGGATTAAATCCCTCATTACTCACATGACATGAAGTTAAAGTCATTGTTGCATTAATGCGCAATTTGTGTTCAGGATAATTTTGCAGAGTTTCTGCTAGTGTTTAGCAGTGTTTCTATAAGACTTTCTGGTGGCAACACGGAGAGTGATGTTTACTGAGGCAAGCAGCAGATGAAAAAAGGTCAAAGGTGGTCAAAGGAAGACCTGGCGTGAGGGTGTGAAAACCCCAACCAGGACATTGGGTCGCATAGGTATTGTTAGGCTCCCTGGCTGGGGACCCGGATGGTTAGGGTCACTTAGTGATATGGCTGAGTGTTGTAAACAGTGGTAC